AAAAAAAAAAAAAAAAAAAAAAAAAAAAAAAAAAAAAAAAAAAAAAAAAAAAAAAAAAAGAAGTAACATAAATAACATTTCCAAACAGCCTTATTTCCAAACAAATAGAAATATATATATCATAGAAGATCCAATAAATTCAATCTAAAAATGTAAACGACAGAATATAAATATAAATATATGTATTTATATCTACAAAACTTGAAAACTTAGCACCCCTGAAAAATATCAGGTCTATCTCAGCATTGACAAGAAGAGTCAAAGAGATTGAATTTGAATATCAATGAGCATGGTGAGATAAAGTGCCACTTTATAATTACTCTTTTAAGTAGTTAGTAAACTTATAGTTACATCCAGACTTCATTCCAAACTTCCAGCTTCTGCAGGTCAGTAACTATGGCTGCTGTCTTCTTAGAAACCCTCCATAGAATGCAACTTACTTGTGAAAATGGCTTCAACAATCTCTAAATTTTGGGCATCACCACTTACGGATTATGCAATCGGTTCGTTTTAGCTTTTGCAGGCGTCGTCCAACAAAAAATGAAGAGAATTGAAATGTCGGGTCGGGATGTGCTAGCGAAACAAAACTTTCGAGATCTTTCTGGAATAAACAAATAGTGACCACAAAGCAAGCCAAGCTGATATGTACAACAAGACCACACCAGTTGCTACTACAACTCCAGATCCTCCAAGACTAACAGAAAAGAAAAATGAAATATTCAAGAGAGTTTCTTGTGTCGTCTAAGCTGTGTGTGAAAGATGGTTACCGAAGAACTAAAGAAAATGAACCTGACCTGCTGTCTCGGCTAGCCAGAAGTGTGGTTAGTGCAATCATCTGTGTCGCTGTTTTCCACTTCCCCAAGTTGTTTACGGCCACAGCCTGTGTTTCTCAAATTTTAAGCTCCCCAAGTTAAAAGCTTTGTCATTCAAACAAACTGAATTGGTTTTATTTTGGTATATACAAACCTCTAAAAGTTTACCATTTTGGGAAGCAGCCCATTCTCGTACGGCCGACATGGTTATCTACATATTCAAATCGATCGATAAGATATCCGTTATAAATTCATAAATGAATCAAAGAAAAAGAAAAGCAGTGTGCCATACCTCATGTACAAAAGGGGCAAACTAACAACTAAAGTAAGCATTCTCAATTTGAAGGTTTAACAAAAAACATAAAATCTATTAGGCGAAGAAAACTTCAAAGTTTTCCAAATATTGAATCAAAATGGTTGATATCAGGCAAACAAGATGGTAAGTGGCTACCAAGGGAGTATAATTACCTCCCTGCCAATAATTGCTATTGAAGGTAGAGTCAGAAGCCAAGGAATATGACCAAACACAGAAACCTCCAAGGGTTGTGTGCATAGTAGGATCAGTGTAGCAGCAACCATAAGCTGTAGTGAAGGAACGAAAGTTGATTAAGAATGTTTGAACCATATCTGAACTTAACAAGATCAAACTCATGATTGAGAACCTAAACAGAGAAGAAGGACCAACCTTATCAGCTACTGGATCAAGAAACGCACCGAAAGCCGAACCCAACCTCATCTGATAAATGAATTTAAAGATTTAAGACCAAACTGATTGAGACAGCTATAAATGGATAGCCATCACAGGTTTCTCCCACCATATTAGACATTGACTTCGAACATATGAAGAACATACCTTCCGAGCAATATATCCATCGAGCCAGTCGGTAACTGCAGCAGCAATGAATATACTAGTTGTAGCAGTTGTTCCCCACCAGTTATCAACATAGAAAGCTAATAACAGAAGCACATAGTCTTATGATTAAAACACTAAAATTAACTTTTATTTTGATTTCTACAATCTAGAGGAAACCGGTTATGAGATGAACAAACCAATCACCAACATAGAAGGTTAGAATCAGAAACGTGTGATTTCCTTTTTTATGAACAAACAACCAATCACCAATAAACCAATCACTAAAATGGGTGTTTTTTTTACAACCAAATGCATTAGACTTGATACAGCAGCCTGATTTTAATAACATGCTGCCACCATAAATCCTTGAAATCCACAATCATTGGAAGATTTTGCGTAATAAGAAGCTCTAGAATCATTAGTTGCAGGCAATTAGTGCATAAACAGTTGCAGCACAGCAATTAGTCCAATGATAAGAGAACTAAATCAAAGAGTGAAACTAACCCATATTTACACAACACAAAGCAAAAAGAATAGCTATAAGTTTTCCTTAGAATAAAATGTAACGTAACGCAACGCATTTATGGATGAAACGCCTTAAACAATCGTTAGAACAAACACACACAGGAACTGGTAACACCGATTTCCAAAACAAGTCCAGAGAAAACAATCCAGATGCCCTACGCCTTTGATCGGAGCCAATGTCAGGCCAAATACACATCGTAACACGCGACGCACAACATTTAGAGATCGGTTCGTGGCGTATCGATTCATTTCAATCAGATGATTAAAACAGACATAATTGCGATTAACAAGAGGCAGAAATTTAAAACATACTGCAGACAAATATCGGGACAGCGGCCACTCGAGCAAGCGTCAAAATGGTGGGCAATGTCAGCAATTTGGAATGTTGTGGTTCGTGTTGGTGCATTAATGGCGATGGAGTCTCGATGTGCAAGTCATCTTGGAACCAGCCATGGTTATGGTCCTTTCTCTCCGTAGCCATATCAGCCACAAATTCAGAGCCGGCAGATGGAGGAGAAGCAGCAGAATCAGAACCTGACCCTGACCCTGACCCGAAAACCCCTCCTCTTTTTGCGGTCGAATTGGTATAAGACCTTTTAGACCCCATCCAAAAACATTTATATCCACTACAAAACCCTAAAATTTTAGAACGGCCCTTATCGTACAAGAGTCGAGCGCGTGGTCCTAACGTCCACCGTCCAAGTCCACCTCCTCCACCCCCATAAATCACTGCATTTCTCTCTCCGCATCCAAGCGCAACCGGAGGCGGCGGTTGGGGAGGTCCGGCTGCAGGAAATAGAAGGGACTTGCGGCGTTCGGCGGTGGCGGGAATGGAGCGCAACCAATTGGAGAGGTTTCTGCGAGGAGAGGAGTATAACCAATTGAGATGGGATGGAAAGGGGATTTGTTGGTTTGAGCTGGTTGGATTGGCATTCTGGGAGATTCTTTTCATGAATTTGATTGATTTCCGTTTGAAAATTGGTGTTCATTTCCGTGTTTGGTCCGAACTCTCGGCAGATCGATTGGGTCGTTCTTCTTTATACGTTTTGATTTCATTCATCAATCTTGCAATATCTTCTTTACAAAACTATTGTTGTTCTTTTGAATATATTATACTCTTAAAATCATTCCTGGTTGGCTGGTTCAAAGGGATTGCTTTGTCAATTATTGCGAAGAAGAAGATCGAAACGAGAACGATAGTAAACAACGCTCACCTAATCAAATCCCTTTGTTATTATACGAAGAACGAACTAAACTTGCATCGAAATGACTCAAAGAGTACTACAAGAATTTGAATCAATACAAAACACAATATAAACAACACAACATAATAAACAACCAAAATAAGAAAATCAATTTTCAAACAATAATCTCTAGTAATTCATCTAATCTTAACCTATATTTTGACATTATATCTAAATAAATGTTCTTTTTTTCCAATTGATTTTCTTAAATGTCAACAGGATCACATTATTTATCTAAATTTAATTATTTGTTTTATTTTTATTTTTTATTTTGTTAAAAAAATAAAGATCTCCCGCCTTTAATGCGGGGGACAAGGGCGCACAGCCAAAGCTGTTATGAAAACGTAACGACAAGAAAAACAAAGGAGCAAATAATTCTTTTTTTTTTTCTCGATAAAACGGCCACAAATCAACCAGTAATTACAACTCGAACCACAAGGTTCACTTTGTAATTAACGGTAAAATAAAGGACCGCGATCATAAATAATAAAACGATTGGATAAATAATATCCGAAAATTTCCTCGGATACTTTTTTTTTTTCTCCCAGGGTTATTAAAGTCATTTTGCCTTAATTTCATTAATTCCCTTTCTTTTTATCTGCATAATCCATTCACGAGGATAATGACCCGTTTTTTATTTTATTTTCACGAGCGATACCCACCGGAATCATTTAATTACGGTTTTATTATTATTTATTAAAAGCGTGTTTTATACATAAATAAATAAATAAATAAATAAAAATAAATCTCTTAGTTCAGCTC